CCAAGCAGGGCCTCAGAGAGCAGCCCATCATTTCCAATTCTAATACGTGGCAAGAGAGGGGACTGATGGGACTGATGTCACATTTCCCCCCCCCACCAACTTGTGATGAGCCCCCCCCCCTTACTGGCTAGCCGCGGTCCAGATCCGAGACAGGACACTGTGGCTCGCTAAGGGCAAGGAAGAGAGGGCAGGAATGGGGGAGGGAGGGGGGGGGAGATATTTGCATGCCCCTCCATTGTGAGTGGGGGTAAAAAAGTGACAGCACCGTGTCCAATTCGTCTCCCCTCCCAGAACAGCTCGGGCCCGGCAAGAGAGGCCAGGCTGACAGATGACTCCCAACATCTGTGTTACGCGGCCGTTACAGATGAGGGGCTCCACATCACATCTCTCTCTCTCTCTCTCTCTCTTTCTGTGGGACACTCCCTCTCTCCTCCCACCACCCACACTCACAGTACAACAGAGAGACGGGGCAGACTTTCCGTGGAAATTAACTTGAGATGGCCTTTAACAGTCATTTTATTCCAAGTTTAAAATTTCTTCCTTTAGGCGGCATTCAACAGCAATGATTACAAAATGGTGTTCAGCACAATACAGCATTCAGAGATTTGAGGACAATGCTTATCCTATTGTTAGAAAGAATTGTAATGCCAATTGGGAAATGTTTGGATAAAAAGATGGGCCAAAACTCAACTAAAATAGTTCGAAAAGAGGTTGTGATACCAATAACGTATGGGTATAAGTCAGGACATGGAGCTGATTTGTGAAATATGTTTAATACAATGATATAATGCAGAAATACGTTCAGACAAATCTCCAATAACTGCTTGCAAGATTACGTTTTAATTACAAAGTGCTAACATTAATTTAGTGAGAAAATTTAAATGAAAACGTTAACAACGGAACCATATCATCACAATATGATTTCATTTAAAGTCAATAACATAATACCAAATTATATTCCCCCTTGCTATTAAGGATAAATTCTATCATCGTAAATTTCCTAGCTCACAATTCCATTAGCCTGATTGGATAGATGGATAGATTGGATATATGTACAAATACATACAAATATAATAAATCATCTTAGGCTCAAATGAACATTTAACAAAATAAAAGGTGCTTCCACAGCAACAAAAATGGGGCACATTCAAGTGAAAGGACTACAGCAGCTCATGAAACTGGTGGACGGCCGGATATCCACAGTCTACACTCAACGTTGGTCGCATCCTTTGGAAACACACCCACGCCATGTGAAATTAGGTGAAATCTAATAGATACCTGTCTTTTCTTTCTCTGTGAGCATTATAGTCGGAGAGAGAGAGCCGCCTCGTCCACATCTAACCCCCACCACCCCCTCCCACCCCCCTGCCAACCTCCGCCTGGCCAATATTTACGCAGTGGCAGGGCTCCCACACAGTCCAAGGGGACAGGAGGGGCGATCGGGGGGGGGGGCTGACTGCCGTGCCGGAGCGCATGCTAAGAGATGATGGATGGCCTAGTCGATATGTTATGTCTTAAGAGCCTGATTTCCTGCCAGTCCAATCACTAACCCTCCAGAGCCCGGCTCAGCTGATTGGACAACCAGAATAATTTCGCAGGCTGTGAAAACACTGCTGCCGTGCCTGTCTGTCGGGTCCAGTGACGAGACTCTGGGATTTTTAAAAGAGCAAGGGCCTCCCCGAGACTGGTTAGGGTGAACAAAATGATAACAATAACCAGCGAGACTAAACAAAAGAGCCAGCACCTCCGGGACAGAGAAAGAGATCTTACAGAATTATTGGAATAAAAACAGCGCCGTGTTTTCCTTTAATTACACACCCACCAGTGATACCTTTTGAACAACTGGCATGCAGACTTTTTGGTTAAAGAAAGTTTGGATTAGGAAACCCAAAAGGAGAACGGAAACTTAAAATAAACATGAGAAAGACCCCCTAGTGTTGGGCCCATGCATTCAGGATATTGGACGAACGCTATGCGCATGACATATTCTGTAAAACGCAGACAGTGAGAACAAAGCCGAGCTCGAGCTTCGCCGTGTCCCCTTCGGGGACCGAATACCTTCTTGTAGATTGGTGATTAGGGCACAATGGAAGTAGGAAGCTCCAAATACGTACGACTTTGTAAGTGACCTCGGCGGGATCAGCCGTGGTGTCCTGTTGGCCTCGGGGGATTACACGTGTTACGTTCAATAAAGTGAGGGCCCTCAGTGTCAAGGAGAAAGGCAAACACAACCATTAACCTCGCTGTTCGATTCCTGGATGAGCAGGCGCTGCATGGCGAAGCATTGGCTAACGGAGGCCGATACAGAAACCTGCGTGGAATTAATTGGAGATCAAAAGTGGGATTATAAATACCCAGAAGCAGGTAGAAAAGAAAAAGAGACTGAGGAATAAATGGTGATGCTACTGGGAGTTGAAAAAGTTACTATTTATGTGAGTGATTGGTAAATTATAATGTGATCACATTTTGTGCTTGTATTTGTTCATAGATACTTGATGTTTTTACCCTGTAGCCACACATAAACACACACCGAGAGTGTAAAGGAAGTGTATAGTGTGTAACTACTCACTTTGGGAATCTTTCTTTCAGCGTCTTCATACATTGGCGCGTGGGTCTCAGTTGATCGGTCCATCGCACGATCTCTTTATATTCAGCTCGGGACAGCGTCATTTTCATTTGATTGCAATGGTAGGCGTGTGACTGCATCTATCTGTGCAAACACGAGGTGGGAGTTTGATTAAGGGACGCGTCCGTGGCAGTCTTGAGTTTCCAGATGTAAACAACGCGGGGGAGACTGACAGCCAGAAACAGCTGTAGCGTCGCCCGCCTTGCTAAGCAATATTAGCTTTACGTGGATTGCTAACACGACACAACAAACGCGCGGAAAATAAAAGCTTTCGTCGCCCTTTCGAGTGTACTGAACGACTACTGTACGCATTGGCTTTCAAAATAGTTTTGTAGAGCGATAAATAACACCTAAACGGGTTGTTTACCATTCATTCCTGCTGTACACTTCTCGATTGCAGCTTCCCGCTAGCGAGCTTGAAGGAAGGACTCTTGTGTGAGGAGTGGTTTGATTGGTCGATTCATTCGGGAAGCTGAGTATAACAGCAGGTGATTGGTTACTCGGCAATGCGAAGGCGGAGCGCCAGCGGAGGCTCGCTGCTTATTAGCTCCGACGCGTCACTGGATTCCTGTTATATGCAAAAGGAAAACTTAACCAGCCTACAGTCCGACAGAATGTAAATAATAAAAAACTCTACAGGCCCAAAAATAATTTTAAAGAAGGTGGGTGAGGAACTGTGTAAGGAGACAGAGAAGGAGGGAGTGTCTCTCTGTTATCTCTCTCTAGAAAAATTCTGTCGATAGTCGTTGATTAAACACAAATGTACTGTTTTTTTTTTTTTACATCAAATGAGCCTCTTTACAGCCTACTCAGAGATACTACCTCTCAATTAAAACATGGTATTTTATCCTGGATCATGCTACTTCAGCATACAGTCCATAGCAACTTAAAACATGGGGATTTGATATGCATCTGGAATAAACTAAATTCAATGATCAAGTAATTAACCTGTTTTTCATGAAGCCTAATTGAAGTTTAGTTTGGGCTCTGGTTATTTCTTCTTCATTCTTAAAAATTGAAGCAACTGAAAATCTTAACAGAGAGGCCATACTTGCTTCACTTTTCTTTAAAGGAAACAAAGTATACCAAATTCCACTGCTCAGATCATCATTAATATTTATATAGTTTATTCTTTTACCCCTGCAGGTAGAAATATTACTTTGTTGAAAAAATATTGGTTGGGGTTTTCCTTAATTATTTCCAAGGTACAGCAATATTTTTTGTGGTCCATCGCCAGCTGCAGGTCTCCCGAATCATCAATACCTGTCACCTAACCAGTGATAGTAGTCCTAGATGGTAGTGCTTTAAATGCCTTTTGCAGAAATATGGAAATATATGTAAATTTGGTCAAAGATAATGACATACTAAGTTTGGAACATACAGGAATAATGCTCAATTTATTAAGGATACATATGCTCTCCAAACGACTTATATTACAATGAAAATAGTTATCTAATAGTAACAAATGCAAACTGATTTTTGAGGGAAACTACTAAATTGTCAATTAACGATTTGGTGTGATTATTCATTTCCCTCCGAACCTTATGGATGCCTCGTACTGGAGTGTCGATTTTAGTCGACTTAGATAGGAATAAAAACTTTCAGACTTAATTTGTCAAATACACGCCCTTGAGATCAATATCATTTTAGAATGGTATTGTTGTGTAATTAGTGTCTGCTGTAAACAGTCTACCCGTCTTTTACTTTCTACTTTCAGATAGAATCATAATATGTTATAATCATGTTATGTTGGATTTCAGATATTTCTTCTGTTTGTTTTTCAAAAATAAAACAAGCTGATCATTGAATAACTCCTCTTGAAACGATCTCAAACAAATCTGGCTTCACTCCTCTGTGAGCCCGTGACTACATCAAACCATTCTTTGCTAAAGTCAGACATTCTTTTCACAACAACATCGCTGATTTCCTCCATTGTGGGCGAACAATGCATCGGTGAGCAGAAAGGCTCTATCTGACCTGTGATGCGTCAGAAAATAGAGCTCATTGTTGTCGGGCAGTGTAGTATGATGCCTGAGATGGGCTGAGGTCTCGGGCTGTGCGTGCACCAGCACTGTCCCCGGGTCTGAAAGGGCTCAGCGCTCTGTGCTGCCTACAAAAGGGAGCTGTGTAGTGGGATTGGTATGGCCAGATAAGATCGGGGCCTCTGAGGAAGTCTGGTTTGATTGCTACAAAGGGCTGAGGTCAGGGGCAGGAGGAGCAGTTTACTCATCTAGGTATCAGAGGATCAGGGGGTTTGGTGGGGAGCCGCGTGTGTAATAGGTATAAAAGGATCAGTGTAATGTGATGGTATAAAAAGATAAAAATCAGAGAAGGGGTTGGAAGGCAGTGTACTGTAATGGCCCCAAAAGCGAGGGGATCAGAGGCTTTGTTGTGTGTATGCGTCTACTTGTGTGTGTGTGCGTGTGTGCAAGCGAGCACACACACACACGCCCTTGCATCAAATCCATTTTTATGCATCTTTGATGGCCATGAGAGCCGCAGTGGGCTGGGATGAGGGCTGAAGGAGATGGCAGGGCGATGGAGAGGATACCGGGGAAGGATGCACGTTAAAAGACGAGAGCTTTTTTTGAGGCTGAGTGTAAACAGGGCAGTTGTACACACAGTGCCGTTAAGCAGCTGTGGAGCGTGCTCACAGTGGGAGATGAATTTACAAAGGATGTCTCCCTCTGATATCCAAGAGACGCCGCACTGATCTCTGCTCCACTGCTCTCGGCACACCATTGTAGAGCCAAGCACTGTGCCGCTAATGACACGTATATACCTTAATACTTGGGAAGCATTTACATTTCGCTTGCAGCAGAGGGAAAACCCGCGTGTGCGTGAGAAATAGCTTTTCATCAACAGCCTCTCCCGTCGATGAATGTAAGATATTTTAGGTTGTGTAATTTCCTTTTCTCATCACACAGTTTAAGGAAATTGCCAGCCATCCAATGTCTGGCACATTAGTCCCTCTTTAACTTATCCAGGGATATTGCTCACCATACATAGAGAGCATTGTGTTACACGAGATCGTCAGCATTACTGTCATAATGTTTCTTCTTTTTTTTTTTTTCACTTGTGAAGTCAGTGACTTCACTCTTCTGCACCACAGAATTGCTCTCCAATCTTCGGGGAGTCTGGGATCTGAACTCTAAAAATCACAGTTTAAGCATGAGGCAAGCCATAACCAGGAAATGCCTGTAGTATTAGCAAGGTATCAGATTCATGCTTTCCCCCCCTGAACAGCATGACTGCCCCTGAAAATCCAACATCCATATTTTACATCACAGGAGACAAGACACATGTGTTTCAGCCCAGCTTTCAAAGCTGTTTTTCTTCCATTTATTTTATTATCCTTTAATGAATTTAATTACCGGACATGTAATTAAAAGCAATCGTGCTCACCCCAATAAAACACAAACACACACACACACACACTCATATGGGCAATCAGACACACATGCACACATTTGCAATGTGAACGTGTTTACAGGATTAACAGGGGATTGATAATATTTTGAGATTGTATTTCACTCTAAACGGCTGCACGGGGAAACAAAGGCTGCAGCCCAGCCTCATTAATCATAGTCAACGGGTTGCCCGGGTGCAATTTGCATGTCCGAGGTGGTTGCACATGCTGCCGTTCAGCCTGTGTCGCTGGATCTGCCTCGGTTTGGCCAGACCGTTAACGCTGCGTCAATCAAGGATAACCCAACAGCATGACAGAGGAAGAGGAAAGAACAAACACGTTCTCCTCATTACCCCCCTCCCACCCCCACTCGCCCATCTCCCCTGTCAACCCAACCTCTTATTTTATTTAGCACTGATTACGCTGCCCTGATGGAAAATTAAACCATTCTGTTTTTTTTTATGAAAGTACGGTATCTTTTTTAAAGAATGAGGTGGAAATATTTTAAAATATACAAATACTTTTAATACATTAATATCATCCAAATGCAATTATATTCGGTTTGAATGATAGATGGAATAGAAGTCTTGCCTTTTCATAAATTCTGGGCGATATAATCACTTTTATCTATAAAGAAAACTTTTTTTGGGCTTGTCTGTATTTTTTTTTTTGTCAGTCACAGTTTGGAGCCTCACTAAGCCATTTTAACTGCAGATAATTGGGTTGAGACTCGATGCAAGTTCAAAATGAAGCGCAGTTTCACAAAGCTGTAATCCCACCAGTGGCTCGATATACTGAATTCTAATTATCTCGTCATGAACTTAAAAAAAGGCAACATTTTAATGGCTTTTTAACTCCATGAGAGGTGTGTGTGTGTGTGTGTGTGTCTGAGTACTTGCATGGACGTGTGTGTGTGTGTGTGTGTGCATGAGACCGAAGTTGACGCATGTTTGCGTGCATGCTCAGGTTTTTGTGTGTCCGACACGCACAGACGCACAGACACCCACCACCACCACCGCACACAGACATGTGGATGCAGCTCGTGTCTGGTGTGGCCTCTCTACCTAGCTCTGCTAGCCGAGGCTCACGCTGTGCTCTCCCCCCGTCCCCTAATATCCTGGAGGCATTTTTCTCATTATCAAATATTGTTTGATGTCTTTGTTTCTTGATGATTAACCATGGTCACCAAACACTGGTCTGGATTGTTTCAAATTTAATTTTGGGGCTCTGAAGTACCTGCAGAGGGGCCGACTGGTGGGGACACCCGTATTTTATGCATGCTATTTTTTACGCCGAAATGCAAGAGGACACACATTGAAAAACACAATAAATCCTGGAGGAGAATCATTAGTGGAATACTAGTGTTTTTTATGACCATTGTTATTCAGTGCTGTATTGCGATGCAGTAAATTATTCTGTTTATTATGGGTTTATGGATTCAGTCCCAATTTCAGAATAATTATGTTGCCCACGTTCTGCATAAATAAAACCACTCTCCCCATACTTTTCTGTGTATTTAAACATTAATGAAAATTCTACATAAATACACTGTAAATATTTTTTTTCTCACACAGTATATTTTAGTTTTTCAAAACGTTTTTTATGTGTTCATCTTTCGTATAATATTGTTTTTCATTGTACTGACCATGCGTATATTTATTCAGTAATTTTGAAGGAAAAACATATTGCCATAGGAATATAAGATTTATGACAGAACATTGTAAGCCAAACAAATAAGGAAACAACACTTTCCCGTAATGCCAGCGTGTCAAAACTATATTGAATACTTGAAATATCTGTGTATCTAAGGCTGAATAGCAGCCATTGTATCGGTCTAATGATATTATCCTCTGAAATTTGGAATGAAAGAAAGATGGCAGAAATGAGCAGAACCATTGTCTGCCCCATTTTATTTAAACAAATTGCAGGAGCAGAGAGACGCAGACTGAGGGAAAGAACGAGCGAGGGAGGGAGACAAAAAGAGAGAGAAAGTGCTCTGTAAATGAAAGGTTATGCGTCGTCCCATGTGTTTGTATTGTCAATAACTGCAGAAGGCTGTCAAGAAAGTGGGGAGATAAAG